TACGGGCAGGATTCTGCACTGGAGATTTTCATTCTCTGTGCAGCCGAGAGGAACTTCTGCCACGAGCTCTCTCTTGAACAAGGCCTGTGTTTGTTCAGCCCTCCCCTTACATGGCAAGGGACAGTGCCTCTGGACTGTGACAAGGCTGTGGAAAACACAAAGGTGCTTTTCTTACCAAGAAGGTGGCTTTTTATAGAGAACAGCATCCTACCGTGAAGTTTCGGCTCAGTAAACTTGTTCATGTGCCTGCGCCAGATGTTGTTATGAGATTCAACAGGAAACCTATATAGCTAAATGTGTGCCATTAAGCAAATCCAATTTGACTCTAAGCCTAAGAAGGTTTCTGTGAAGCTCAACTGAGCCCCTGCTGTGCTCAGTGGGCCTAAGGAAAGAGATAATTACAGGCCATGAAGACAGTGGCTTCCTTAGCTTTTGTGCTCGCGGGGGAGGGAAGACCCAGCTCTTCTGCTTAGCAACAGGGTGTGCTGATAGGCTGAAGAAGCACATTCCCGGAGAGCTCAAGGGGGCTCATCCTGAATTGATAGCTATGCTGTTCATTAAATACTCACGCTGCCTACGGGCCTCCTGTTCTTATTGCTTTTGCTTTTCACGGCAACCACGTGAGGCTTGCTCACCAGCCGCCTTATTTCATGAGCACTCAGGGGGCCGAGGATCTGAGTGAGTTGCTCTGAATAGCTCAGAAAGTAAGAGGCAGAGGTGGGGTTAGGATCTACGTCTGTCTGTCACTAATCCCTGATATCCTCTGAACTTTCTTTAAGCTGTGAATTTTTTTCTCAAGGTACATAGAAACAGATACAGATGTTGGCAGGGCAGCAAGGGTGGCAGCTCTGAAGACATCCGGGGGAGTTGGGTGATATTGATGGAATCCGTTTAAAGTTGGATTTTGGCACTGTGGTTTGAAAGCTGAGATTTAAGCATGATGGATATCATGAGTTCCGGGACTTCTCGGTTTTGACTTGCAGGCACATCCTAAGTCACTGATGTTTTTAAAAAACAGAAAAGGGCCACAACTTGAGATTGGGCTCAGCTTGCCTTCTTGTCCCAAAGTCCAGTCTACCAGTAGTTCTTCATGTGACAGCTGTTCTCCCTTTTCCACCTGTCTGGTGTGCCATCAACTGCTGCATGTCCCACTGAGGCAAGCAGGTGAGCCCCCCTAAAGTCCTTGCGCAGGGTGCTTGCTTCCTCAGCACATATATTAAGATCTCTCTCAGCAGAAAGGATGGCAGGAGAATGCAATTCATCGCTTCAAGATAAAAGACTCAGCATCTATGCACAGAGAGGCTGTAACAGCACGGGGCACAGCAGGGTGTGCTCCAAAGTGGCCCGTGAGCTTGAAGGCTGGGCACAGGTGCAGCAGTTTTTGGCATGAGATTCTGTGAAGACACCACTGAACCCCAGGAGCAGATACCAATCCAAGGAGAGAGGGTTACCTGTGCAAATACAGAGAGGGCAGTGACAGAGCTACAGGTTTGATTGTCATGGTGTATGAAGAATTTGAAGAGGCCAGACCTTTTTTTTGTGGCTAGCTCAACTAGCTGTGAGAGTGGGGCTGGCATGGCATATGGTGCTGGGAATCAAACCTTGGTCCCAGCCATTGCCTAAACTTGCCTATGCAGGCGCTTTAGACCACTGAGCTATCTCACCAGCCGCCAAGGTTGTTGTTTTTTTGTTTTTGTTTTTGTTTTTGTTTTTTTTGTAGGAGCACTGGCCCTGCTCAGTGATCAACCAAGTATATCTGAGTTCTCTAAGTGAGAAATGGTACTAGAAACTAAGCTCTAACTACCAGATATGCTCATTCCTTCTGGGGTGTCTGATTCTAGGATGTTTGAGCAAGTAGAGCTAGCATATATGCACAGATACATACAATGTGCATATACAGTACACTATGCATGTTCACATATTTATACATACAGTATGCATGACTATATACACATCTGTATATACACAAATGCATCTATACATGCCTCAGTACAACTTTGAAACTTTTAGACATTTAGACTCCTTCTTTGTGTGTTTGTCACTAACCTGGATTGTTCTGTACATTTAATAAAGACACTAAGTTTAGACTCTGTAGTTAAAATACATGACATCACACACACACACACACACACACACACACACACACACACACACACACACTGTGGATGTGTTAGGTTGGATAGCCACAACACCAGAAACTGGGAGGCTTAAACAAGAGAAATGTACTTTTTCATAGTTCTGGGGTAGGATCCAAGGTCAGGGTTGGGGAGGGCTGGGCGTTGGTGACACTCACTCTTGGCCTGTGGATCAACTGACTGACCACGCTTTCTTGTCATGCCCTCACATGGCCTTGCATGAGCATACAAAAAGCTGATGTCTCTTCCTCTTCTTGTAGGGACGCCACCCTGTACTGGGTTAGGGCTCCACCCCATGACCTCATTTAGCCTTAATGACTTTCCTATCTCCACATATAGTTGTACTGGGGATTAGGGCTCCTGTGCTTAAATTTGATGGACAGAGGGGTAAGAGTGGGGGCACAATTCAGTCCAAAGCAGAGAGGAAAGTATATAAAAAGTGCAGCGTTATGAATGTTTTCTTTTCCTTTGTGTGTGTGTGTGTGTGTGTGTGTGTGTGTGTGTGTGTGTGTGTGTGAAGGGTTGCTGCTTGCTGGCTTCTCTCCTTTCTTCTACCAGAGCTCAGCCATGACCATTTTGTGTTCCTCCTCTTTGAATAAGACTCTCACTTACCTCCCCCATCCCCATTTCTTGGGTTGCTTTGTCATTCATCTCAAGCAGCTGGGCTGGTATGCCCAGGAGGCCTGGAGGTGGCCTGATGCTCTTGGGGAGCTGTTCCTTTAGATGTCTGCTGGTGTGTGCATGTGTGTGTGCTGCTGCTTTAAGGCAGAATACTCCGGTGAGAGCCCAGTCCTGGCTGCAGCCCTGTCTCTGCCTCTAACTGACCTCTGGCCTCAGATAATTCTCTTTTCTCTGGACTTCACTTTGCACATCTGGAAGGTGATGGCTTTGGGCAGTCCCTTCGTCAGGCTACCAGCTCTGGCATCTGCAGTTCAGACAAAAGGCAGAATTCCCCTGCTCCCAGATGCCTCATCAGATACTGCCTTGGACGTTTCCTCCTGAGAGTGTGGGTGGCTGCCCTGCCCTTTTTCCATGGGATAGTGTACCATGCAGGTTAGAAGTCCATGCTCTGGAGCCAGATATAGGTCCAAATCAAACTCCTTGAATTCCACACTGTGTGCCTTCCACAATTTACATTGAATCGCTAAGTGTTTTTCCCTTTCACAAAGTCAGCATAGTAATACAAACTTCCTAAGGCTATTGGGAATGCAACAGGGACTATAGAGAAGCAGCTGGTATTAGTAAGCATCATTAAGTGGCCTACATTATTGTATGGTAAAGAAGAAAGGTTTGTACATCTGTCTGGAAATTTCTGAGGTCAGCAGAGCCACAGATCCTGAGCTTGTCGCTGGGAGCTGGAGGATGCTGCCGCTAACTTCCCGTCGTGTACTCTAAGAACATTTCTGGAGAGGGGCCATGTCAGGAGGAGACAATTTTTTAAATCCCAATTATCAGTGAAACCGGATAATGTGTAAATAAACTACTAGCACCTGGCAGAGACAGAGGTGTAGCTAAGGAAAAGCTGCTGTTTTCACTAGGCCAGCTGTTTGGGGTGGGGGGGTGCCAAGGAGAGGGTTCTGTTGGCAAGGACAGCTGCAGATGCACAGGGAGGCCCCTGTCTCCTGGCTATTGCTCAAATCCTTCTCTGCTGGGAAACCCAGAGCTCACTGCTGTACCAGGCCTGCATCTCTCCGATCCCCTCAAGCTCTCTCCCTGTGTCCTAGGCAGGCTGAGCAGCTCCTAAACAGGCTGCTGTTCACTGTCCCAGTCAGAATGCAGGTTCTCTGTGAAGGAGCATTACACCAGTCCCTGAGACCAGCATAATAAGACTGTACTGTGGTTCTTCCATGTAAAAGTCCAGACACACCAGAGCCTTCATGATGTTTTACAGTTCAGAATCCCAGGTTCTTCCTCTTTGGTGGGTTTGTCGTGCTTAACTTGTGCCTTACTTCACAATCCGCAGTGATGGCTCAAGCGCCAGCTGCCACATCTACCTTCACCCAGTACAAAGGGGGAAAAAAACCTTTCTCCCTCATCTTGTCCATCTGATCCTCTCCTGTTGGAGACAGCAGAGCAGGTTTTGTCTCTATTTGCTGAAGAGGAAAATGAAGGCCAGAGCGGTCACCTCATGGGCACAGGATACTGACTTGTGCAGCAGACAGACGATTCCAGAAAGCCTGAGAGTCCAGCGGGCTGGTGACTCCAGGCTCCTTCACTGAAAGAGCTGGTGCTGCGGATGTGGGCTCTCTGCTTAGGAATCTAGTCCCAAAACAGATGACTTCCCTTGTCACATTCTGATTTCTCCATCTGTGAAATGGAGATGGTGAGCTTCTTGTGTTGAAAGCTGTCGTCCCTCCAAGCAAGCGCACGGCTTCCTCTGTGCTGAGCCGAAGACCCCGTGATCTGTTGCAGTGCTGCAGAGTTGGCCAGCTGCATTGCATGCGCTGAACTTTAGAGCTGACTGACTGGAGATCTTAAGTTATATTCTGGTTACCATATTCTAAATATTATAGTAAATGTATTATATGTGTCATAATTTAAAACACTACTTGCCTGATCCTCCCTTGAAGCATGATGTCAGACAACTAGGAGACCACAGGATTTTCACTGTCTTTCTCCTGCCAAAGTTCCAGAGTCTGAATGGAGCCCTATTCTGCACCATGGTTAATAGCTTGTGACAAATGTCCTCAGCGGTCAATATAGTTCATGCTGGCATTGCCTTCCTCTCAGTGAAGGCGATGTTGCACCAACTGAGAGCCCCGCGGAGAGTGTGGCAACTCAGGTGGTACCTGGTTATGTGGCACTTGTGAGCTGGGTGGCCACACCAGAATGCTCAAGTGACCAGCTCTTTTCTTTCCTCTGCAGTTGGTCACCACAGAAGGACGCTTCCTCAGGGACAGTTTGTACAATGAAGGAATCTTGATTGTGTGGGACCCATCTGTGTACCATGCTGATATCCCAAAGGTAAGTGAGAGTCCAGGGGAGGGAGGGATTCAGTCTTCTGTCTGACTGCTAACTGTCCTGAGTTCCTCAGTTTTTTAAATCATGGGGAGCCAGTCCTGGCTATTTGAGCTGCAGAGTACCGCACTTCATCTGGACCAGTGGATTCAGAATGCTCCTGTCCTGGAGCAGCCACGCTGCCCTACACTGCCATAGACTTGTATCTCAGTTATGCCTGGATTTCTTTCTGTTGAGGGAAGATTGTGTTCTGTCCTATTTCATGGATGGAGAAACCAGAAGGTGGATAAGGGATGTCCCCTTCCCAGGGCTGAATTCCTAAGCAGAGAGCCTAAGCAACATGTTCCTAAGCAACATCTTTCAATGAAGGAGCCGGGGGTCACGAGCCTGTGGACTCACAGGCTGTCTGGAACGGTCTGCTTGTTATGCGTGCTGGTTGGCCTCTGCCTGTTGTGGGAAGCAGTGAGCTCAGAAAGGCAGAGAGGACTGATCTACGCACACAAGTCTTAAGTTGGATCCGCCGGCTTAAGTGTCTCATGGCCTCAGGTGTGCCTGGCACCTTTTCTAACTAATTTCCATAGTGTTTCACTGACCTCGCTTAGAAGTCAAATTGGTCTGGTTAGGAGAAGGACACTAAACTCATAGACATGGCAACTAATGCTCTGGTTTTCTCTCCTTTAAAAATGAGAATATTTTGTGGCCAGGCAAGGGTGGCATGCATCTGGAATCCAGCACTCTCAGCTGTTTTGGAGGCTGAAGGAGAAAGATCAGTTGAGCCTAGATATTTGAGCTAGTCTAGGCAATGTTGCAAGATCCTAAAGAAGGAAGGGAGGAAGGAAGGAAGGAAGGAAGGAAGGAAGGAAGGAAGGAAGGAAGAAAGGAAGGAAGGAAGAAAGGAAGGAAGGAAGGAAGAAAGAAAGAAAGAAAGAAAGAAAGAAAGAAAGAAAGAAAGAAAGAAAGAAAGAAGATGGGGTGAGATGGTCGCTGGGGCTCCTTTCAGTTCTGCTCTATGATCCTACTCTTCAGGATCACTGAGGCCAACATTCCCATGCATTTGGTCCTGTTGTGCAGAAGTAAGTCTGCTCTGAGGGAAGGGCTGAGTCTCAGGATCCTGCCCAAGCCCTTCCCCTCCCACAGGCTCTGATGAGAATGACTAATTATGAGGAGCATGGGCACAGGCATGGGCACATTTCTCTCCTGACAACACCATTTTCTTCTTTTTCAGTGGTACCAGAATCCTGACTACAATTTCTTTAACAACTACAAGAGCTACCGCAAGCTGCATCCCACCCAGCCCTTTTACATCCTCAGACCCCAGATGCCTTGGGAGCTGTGGGACGTCCTTCAGGAAATCTCCCCAGAGGAGATCCAGCCCAACCCCCCATCTTCTGGCATGCTCGGTGAGTCTGCATGCAGGGGCAGACCTCCAGCGGTTCTTTCCAGAAGAGATCAGCTCTCTTCTGGGATTTCATCCCTCCATTCATTCTTTATTTGTTCACCAAAACAGTCACTAGTATTTACTCTGCTTGTTCACTGTGCCAAGTTCTATCTAACATACAGTAAGAAGTAAGATTCAGTTCTTCTCCTTTAGGATGTCCCCTGGGAGGATTCAGTCAGGTGTCTGAGGTGGTCGACAGGAGAGAGGACCCCTTGTAGCTGGACACACAGAGAGCTTGGAGCAAGGAGCCCTGGTGTAGGCTCTGGCAAGGGAAGGACTTGGGGTAGAGGTGGAGTAATTTGCACACACACACAAGAAAGGGAGGCAGAAGACTAGCAGGAACAGGGGCCTCGTGTGGGGATAAGGAAGGCTATTATCGCACGTTTATAATATTTTTTGGGGGGGAGAAGAACCTCAAAATTAGCTATGAAGCAATATGCTTTCTTGCATTGTTTCTAAACATCACCATTCATGCCAAAAATTATGATCAGGATGAAAAATCAGACATTTCAATAAAGACGATCGCTAGCCATGCTGTACAGCAGGAAGGGAGCCCAAGGCAGAGGAAAGGTCAGTTTTACACACCTGTCTTTATTTGTCTGCCCTCCTGAGTACCTGATGGGAGAAGAGTGAGTGGGGCGCTACCCTGGGTGTGGATGTGAGTGGATCTGTGGGACCTGGACTGGAGTGGGTCGGGACATGGGCTCCTGAACGCCAGGGGAAGGCTTTCTCCTTAGACCTGCTCCGTGCCACGAAGCCCCCGTAGTCCGTCTGTGGATCATGGATTCATTTCCATGAGGATGCCGGCTGCCCCTTGCTGGAGCCCCTCGGTGGACCCTGCTCCTGCTGGAGGGTCCCAGCCGCTCCCCACTGCCTACTTCCCCTGCCAGGCTACGAAGTCTTCAGAGGCTGCGCCTGTGTTTGCCTTACTGTGTGAGTCGGGCCTGGGAGAGTCCTTTGGTCAGCTTCCCTGAGTGAGGAATCTCACAGCAGAGGCATCCAGGAGAAGGTGGGGCCCTTCCAAGGCCTTTCCTACAGGGTAGCTGGCATCAAGAAGCGCAGCCTTTGGTGCCCTGCTGGCCCACCCTTGCCCGGGCCGTTGTCTCTGTCCATCAGGCGGCCTCCTGGCGCCCACCTTTCTTCCACCCACTCTGAGTCCTCACAGGGTTACTCGAGCCTTCTCCTGGGAGAACTTCTTCCTCCTAGAAGCATCTGCTGGGTCACGTCAGTCAGTAGCAGAGCTCTCCGAGGGCAGACAGGGCTTTCCTCACATCTAATTCTAACTTTTAAGTGGCCGCTGGCAGTTTACAGTTTTGCTTCCAGTGAAAATTGTTTCATCATAAAGATTTCTTATATCAACAGTGGACAAAAGAGGTCTTACAACTATGATCTTCTTTAGTCATAATGAGAACATCTGCACTAGGAAGGTGGGCTAGATGTTCCTCCTTGGGGCAGATAAGGAGCCCAGGAACAGAGAGGGAACATTTTTTTGTGGCCGACTCAGCGCGCTCAGTGAGTGGGACTGGCGCGGCTTGTGGTGTTGGGGATCGAACCGCAGCTCTTGCCTAAGCAGGTGCTTTAGACCGCTGAGCTATCTCGCTGACGCACTGAGGGGGAACATTTCTGCAGAGCCAGTTGGGGACAAGTGTGGGTGGTAGCGTGAGCCCCTGCTCGTAGGGCTTGGACTTGTTCTGTCTGTTCTGCACTGCTTTCTGGAGCAGAAGCCTGGGCCACACCTCCTTGACTCCGCCTTCCCTTCCACAAGGAGCAAAGTTTCATATAGACCAAAACTCTTCTGTACTTATTCCTGTAAGTGCTGTATGGAATAACATTTTTATAAATCAGACAATCTCCGCTTTGTGTAAAGTGCTAGGCAGTGTTAAGTACGTGCAGTGGGCTTGTTGCCTTAATTAGCTCCGTTGTCTTGGCCCCCCCTTTCACACAGCTTGTTCCTCTGATAAGTTCATTGACTGGTGGAGTCTGCCGATAAGTTCATTGAGTGGGGGTTCTCGTCAGCTGGAGCTCTGGGGCTTCCAGAGGTGGAGGCTGGGGAACCAGGCCCAGCCCCACTGACTTCAAGGGAGGACCTTCAAGTTCCCCACCTTGGTCCAGGTTCTTGGGGTGCAAAGTTCCATGAGAAGAATGCAGGGCTGCCTCCTGAGTCTGAGGGGCTTGGCTTAGCAGACTCATCCTGGGCATCAGATGGATCAATAGAAGCTCCAAGACCATCTCTCAAGTTCGGGTCATGAGTGGCTGCATGCCCTGGGCAGACTCTGGGGCACTGGGAGGGCCATCAGGGGGTTCTCACCTCTGCTCCCTACTGCAGGCATTGTCATCATGTTGACACTGTGTGACCAGGTGGACGTTTACGAGTTCCTCCCCTCCAAGCGCAAGACCGACGTGTGCTACTACCACCAGAAGTTCTTCGACATCGCCTGCACGATGGGTGCTTACCACCCACTCCTTTTTGAGAAGAATATGGTAAAGTACCTCAACGAGGGCACGGATGAGGACATCTATCTGCTTGGGAAAGCTACGCTGTCTGGCTTCCGAAACATTCGCTGCTGAGATGGGCCCCTGGTCAGGCACCATTGGTCTTCTCCAGCCGTCATGTCCTGGCTGGTTCTCGGCCACCCCAGCTGGGTATGATCATTTTCGGAGCAGTCTCAGCCAGCGGGGGGTTCTGGCCAACTCGAGCTCTGGGGCTTCCAGAGCTGGAGTCTGGGGAACCAGGCCCAGCCCCAGAGCCTGTGAGCACAGCCCCCAGTCACACACCCAGACACACACACGTCACATCCATTCCACATAGCATGCTCCCCTCTTTACACACAGGTAGACACAAGATCTACTTTTTCCACCTGGGCTGCCAAAGCTGGGAATGTTTTCCTCACAAATCCTCTACTAGGCTGCTTGAGATCTCTACCTAGGGGTGATGTTTTATTTTATTTTATTTTTTTTTGCTTCGAATGCCTTCAGGACAGGTTTGACTGGTTGGAGTTGTGGGGATCGAACTACAGCAACCTGAGGCTGACAGCTTTGTGGAAGCAGCCACTTAAAGAACTGAGCTAGGGCCAGGCCCCCGATGTGATGTTTTAAAGAAACTCCCAGATCATGATTGTGCCTGGGGATGGGGTACAAGTGGTACGAGGTGTTGGAAGTGTCTCAGTTCCTCCAGAACAGAGCTGATCCCAATGGTCCTGCCCCCAGGAACTGCCATCATTCAGCGCTGGCTGCGCTTGCCCTCAGCTGGGTGTTTGCGAGTGAAGAATCAATTAGCCCACTTTCCTCTGTACACAGAGAAGCAAGTCTGTCCTCACGTGGCTCACAGTGTCAGGCAGGCGCGAGTGTGCAGGGCAGTGTATGGAGCTGTGAGACTATTGTCCCAGTGCTCAGGAGGCACACACCACACGCTTCCTTCATGGGTCCCAGAAGGCTTCAGAGATCTGGGGCTTGGAATGGGCTGTAGGGGAAGAGAAGACGCATGTCCAATAGGTTTCATCAGAGTCACTTCAGTTTCCTTTTCTTTCTTTATCCTCAGTATTTTGTTCTCCAAGATCTGCTGCAACTTAAAGCCTCAAGGTTTTTGTTGTTCTTGTGGTGGTGGTGGTATTGGTTGTTGAGGAAACCTCCTACCTATGTAGGTAGTAAATGTAGTCCCATGGCAGGCACCAGATAAGCCAGAGCCCCTGAACCCTGTTTTCTGGAGCCTCAGCCTGGCCTGACCATCTTCATCCAGTGAGGTCTGTGTACTATGTTCCAGCTCTTCCTTTTTAATGCCTTCACCCCAGACCTCTTCCTAACTTCCTATCATTTTTAGCCCTTTAACCTTCCCTTCCCAAATCACTTGCATATTTTACTTTAAAAGTATGCTGACCTCACTTTCTTTGATCCCATGAGCCTTTTGCAAAAAAAGGTCTCTTGGAGAAGGGGTGTGTGTGCTTCTCTAGGGTTCTGTTACTCTCAGAGGTCAGAGCCCTGGGGATCACAGCTGACTCATGGGCGTGATGCACATCAAGCCAGCTTGCCACCCTCTCCACCCACTCCTGGTGAGGAAGCATTGTGACAATGGTGCCTGGATGGTGGCTGTCCAGTGTGGTCTGCAAGTGTCCTCCCCAGGTGTCTGTGCTGTTTCCTTTCCATTTGGCCCCCACTGTAGGGAAGTTAAATGATTTGCTGATGCTCACAGGGAAAGGCTGTAGAGCCAGGACTCCCAGCACTAGGCATCTGGCCTCCCCATGCTCCGGAGTCTACAGTGTTTGAGCTCCAGATTAGACATCTTGGAACTGGACACTCATCTGCTGCCACTCCAGTGGCCTCTGTGGGCAGAAGGAAAAGCTCTGGAGTGAGAAGCATTAGGTCTTCAAGCTGATGCTCCCCTACCTGCTTGCCTTGGCACCTTGGGAAAATCCTCTCTGTTTCCATGTCTGAAGAGTTAGGGCGATGATCTGTCTCACAGGGTGATTTGGAAGATTGCAGAAAAGTAACTGTGCACGCTGGCTTCCTGCCCTCCTTTCCTCTGTCTTCGAGGACCCACACTTGGGCAGTGAGAATGGGTGGGGAGGAGAAGGGCAGGGGTCCTGTTTTCAGGGAACTCACTCTCCTGCTGGGAGATGACACCTGCTCCTCTTGGAAGATCTGAGAGACATTTGAGTCCACGGATGCTGCGGAAGCTGCCTGTCCGCACTGCCTGCAAGTCAGATCAGTTCTGCTTGGGAGTGAGTGGAGGACTTGGGTGCTGGACGGCTGTCCAGAAAAATCCTTACCCTCTTGGACCCCCGAATTCCTGGCTTATTTTATGTCCTGATTTGACACACTCACTGTAACTCTGTGTCGTGACCACAGAGTGCCAAGAAAGATGGCCCCCGCAGGAATGTGCTGTGTGGGGACTGAGACTGCGCTAGGTGGAACCTAGCTTTTAATTGTTATTATTAATATGAAATTAATTTATGATTCTGAAATCTGCCAACCTTTGAATCTTGTGCTCTGTAAATGTGGAAATCTTGGTGAAATGCAAATAAGATGTGGGTACAATTGTAAGTCTGGTGCTTACTGTGTTTGACAGAGAATTTTAAGACGATGTCTGAATGCTGCTGGAAAGCCTGTCTGTGTGGGGTTCTGTCTTCAATAGCCATCAAATTCTCCTGTATCACCAGGTCCTCTCCAATCCTCCCACCAATTGAATAAGCTATGGCTCTTGGTTTGGAATCGAGACTTTAGTCTCATCAGAAACTTCTGAAATATGCCTAAGCTAATTTTGAATTACCCAAAGATCATGTACATTTTTAAAATAAAGGTGATTTTTAAAATGGTTGCTTTCTCTCTTTGTTAGCTGTTGAGGGGGCGGATGCTCACCTCTGGTTCTTGGGTCCTAGAAGAGTTGAACCAGAATTTGGAGCCTCCTGTCCTCCTGTCCTCCTCTCCTCCCACTACTTCTCTGGCTTCAGCCCTCCTCATTGATACCCCAAGAAGCTGACTACTTCCTTATCTGGAAGGATAGTATACCAGAAATGTTGACTGGTTTATCCATTTTTCTTCCTTTTGTTTTGGCCTTGATTCAGCTCAATGAGCCATTGTTTATCCCATACATCAGGGAAGGGATGCAATAGGACAGAAGATAGAGTAAAAGAAAGCAGACATTTCCAAAATTCTTAAAGGATTTTTCCCCTAAACTGCTCCCTCTCTGGATGTAGGTTTAACCTGTCCCCGAAAATTCCTATCCTCCAGTTCTTCTGAATGTGACCCTATTTGGAAATGGAATCATTGCAAATGTAATTAGTTGAGTCATGCTGCGGTAGGGTGGGCCCCACATCCAATAGAACTGGTGTCCTCATAAGAACAGGGAATTGAGAGACAGACACACAGGGAGCGCACCACGTGATGATGGAGCCTGAGATCAGGGTGTTGTACCAGCCAAGGAGGGCCAAAGATTGCCAGAAATCCTCCGGAAGCTACAAGATAGCTGTAGAAAGGATCCTTCCTTACAACCCTCAGAAAGGTCTACCCCACTGATGCTGATACTCTGAGCTCAGGGTTCAGGCGACCAGTATATTACTGTTGTGTAAGCAATGTATTGTGAAGTACTTCACACTTCGCACTTCTGACAAACTAAAGTAATACCAGCGCCCTGACCCATCATTGTAACTGCCCTACGCTGCGGCTGCCAAGAACAAACAAGGGGAATGTGCTTCTCAAGGGCCCAATGTCCCGCCTCCCAGCCAGAGCTCTGGGGTGCTGCCTGATCGTGATGCTAGAGGTCATGGGCCCTTGAGTCAGCCCAGCCGCTTGGCACTTGAGTCGTGCTGAGCAGCTGGAGAACTGTGAAGTCTGTGCCCCTGACTCCGCCACCTGACCCTTTAACTTGGTGAACTCCCTGGAACTGCTACCTCCCCACGACAAAGTGGAGTTTCTCTCTGGATTCCTGTAGAATGGAAGCTCAAAATTGGAGTTCTAAAACAGACAACAGTTACTTTGGGCACTGAGATTTGTGCTTGCCAAACTTCCCTGACCTTAAGTTGATCTAAGGTCTTACTAGTGAGACAGGTAGGCTGGGCTCTCTGTCCAGGTCTGGGAGTTGATGGTCCCTGGCTCCACTCTGCTGTCTGCTTTGTTTTTGTGTGAGTCAGGAGTGGAGAAACAGAACTGGGACCCTCACCCACTCACCTGCTTGGGAGGACAGTGAGGTAAAGAAGGGGAGAGAGGGGTTCTCTTCTGTAACTTCAACTCTCAGCCTCCACTGGCAGGAGTCTCCTCACAGGCAGGACCCACCGCTCAGCCTCTTGAGACTGTTCTCCGAGGATGCTTCACAGCTGAGCAGTGTGTGGAATGCACACCGATGCCTGGCTCCTCAAGCTGCAAGCAGGGCTGGGTGGGAGGAGGGGCACATCCAGTCTCCGAGACTGCAAGCTGCAGCTGGGGCCATCTCCTTGCCCTGCATGGTGCCATGATCCCTACTTCCTTCATGGGCTCTGGCAGCTTCCTACAAGGTGGTATGATGTGGTGGGGGAGCATTTTCTAGTCTCAGGGTCAGGATCACTCTAAACCAAATTTTATCTGGGTGGAGCTGGACAAAAGGCCTCACTGGAATCCCTGAAGTCCCTTACTGGATGCATTGGTGTCTGCCATTCCTCATGATTAATGCTAAGTCGAGTTTCCAGTAGGAAGAGAAACTCTCCAAGTCATTGAATACACATTGAGCACTTGCTATGCGCCTGGCAGTGTGAAGACTCACAGCACTTGCCCTCCAAGAAATAGAAGCCTGCCCTGCCCCTGTGTAGGTGTCTGAAAAGTTGCCTGAATAGCACTGCCATTGCAGGTAGGCACACGTTCATAATTGCCTACAAGGAAAATACCGTGTGTTGGTCTGCTTTGGGGCCAAGGGAAGTTTTCAAGGGTGAGGTCCCAAGGTTAAAAAGCTTGTGTGCACAAAACACCAGCAACAACAGAAGGCAGTATGGAGCAGAGCGGAGCAGAGCACAAGAAGGCAAGAGCACCAGAGACACCTGCATCTTTATTGCATAATCCTTACACAGGTTGTAATCTCATATTTACACTCCTACACAGTGCTGCGACCAGCATATGGGTGTTAAGCCATGGTTACCTAACTGTATCACATTGTGCACCTGCAGGAGAGGTGTCCCTAGCTTCTCCTGAGCTTTGAAGCAGTCTGAGTGGTTCCTCACTGTGCACATGCCAAACAAAGAAATGATCACGCAAGGCAAAGCACAACAGTGACATTCTAGAGGAAAGAAACTCATTTTAACAAGGGGATTTGGGAAGTCTTAATGAGTAACAGCCTTAAAGGATGGGCCAGATTCCCTCTTTTTTCTTTAAATAAATCCTTTCTCTGACTATGAAAGTAATACATATTCATTGTTGAAAGAGCAGACAATTTTTTTAAAAAGGGAAAGAAGCCATCTCCTACATCATAACATCCAAGGATAACCAACAAGCTGTTTCCAATTCTTTTCTTATGTGAATACATTTATCTCTGCCTCTCTGTTTGTCTT